GTTTGATCTGCCGGGGTTTGCTCTGCTTTCGCCGGGACATCTCGGCGGCGGCTGCTGCCGCTGGGGCTCCCGCGGTGCCCGCGGTCGGGGCTGCCGCTCCCTCGGCTCCCGCCGCTGCCGCCGCTGGCCAGGCTCGGGCCGCCGCCGGCCGGACTCCAGGTGCTCCAGGCGCTGGGCTCCTCCGGGAGCCGCGGATCCACGCTCGGAGATGAGCAAGCAAATGAGAAAAGGAGAGACGGGGGCAGAGAGAGTGTGACAGCGAGGAGGGGAGGGGGAGAGCGGAGAGCCGCGGGGAGGAGAATGGGAATGTTCGAGCGAACGGTCAGGAGGAGAGAAAAGGGGAAAGAGAGGAGGGAAATAACAAGGAAAGAAGGAAGAGAGGAGGGAGGGACGGGAGAGCGAGCAGGGGGGAGAGGGGGAGCGCGGGGGCGCAGGGCTCAGGAGGAGGAGCGCGCTCGCTCGCCCCTCGCCCCGGCGTGCGGGACAGATCACTCGGGCGCCGCCGCCGCCGCACCGGGCCGCGCAGCTCCTGCTCTGCCGCGGGAGGCGGCGAGGCGCGCGAGGGAGGGGCGCGCCGGGGCTGTAGGGAGGGGAGACTATTCCATCAGCCAAAGGAGGATTGGCTGCATCCAAAGCCAGTCCGGATGCAAACTACGGCCCCGGCCTCGGTCGGGTGAAGTCCGGGCGATCCAGGCGGTGGTGGGGGATGGGGGCAGGGGTGGGTGGGAGTTGGGGGGAGGCGTCGGGAGGGCTTGGAGGAGGGCCACCTTCTGCAGTTGTCACCGCGTCAACGCTGGGCAGCTGCCAGGGCACCCGCCCCCCCCTTCCAGGCAACTTCTTCCAACAGCCCTCTCTGACAGACCCCAACTCTCCTCTCTCACGCCTTGCCCGTCCAGCGGGGCACAAAGAAATCTCAGTCTCTCCCTAAACTTTGTGCTTTCAGTTATGCCACCCCCTCCGCTCACCCCCAGCCCCCGCCCTCTCCCAGCTTCTTGGCAGGAAGGTTAGGCCACTGGCAAAGTCCTCAGCGACAGCCAGATGATCACAAATGCCAACTGTGTGTCTTGGGGCCAGTTAAGTCCGCTCATCTGCTCAGGCTCTCAGAAGACCATTTCTTTGCTCTCAAGGCTCCCAGGAGACCGCTGCGGACAAGGACGGTCCCGCTCTGGGCCCGGGTGGAAGAGGTGCTGAGTCGCATCCTCAACGTGTTCTGTCACCTCCAGTTTCCATTTTAAATTGTAAAATTTCCAAATTTGGAGACAAGCAGATATTTTTCTCATCTTGAAAAGGAGGAGCGAGCGTTAGCTAGCTGATTAGCCGTAGGTGGGAAACGAACCATCTCTAATAAAAACAGTAACTTTTAGAGAAACTCTGGGGAAGTTCTGTAGTCCCACCCTGCCCCGTGACCTTTCATTCTCTTAGTTCTTCTGCCACAGAGAAGCACCGATCGACTAATAAAAGATTTGATCTTGCTATAATTTCCCAAGCAGGTAAGACCCAGTAACTATTTCATGGTTCTTTTTAGCTTGTAAAGTTTTGTTTCATTCTTATTCAGTTATTGTATATGTAGCATGTGGGAAACTGCAAGCCAAAAGAACAAATTTTGTGGTGATTTGCATAGTTATTATTTTGGCCAAGTTAAGCTGTATGAGGCTAGCTTATTTTCTTACAGTTTCATATACAGTGAGTATTAAATATATACTCCCAGGTGGGTCGGAAGGAGCTTCTATCCAAGTGCTGTGGGACTGGCTGCTTCATGTAATCAGTATTTACTAATAAACTCCACTGCAGTTAACATGAGTCCCCCAGATACTGCTGACTCTTCCTCCAGGAGGTTGTGAAATGGACCATTCTGATCTGAAATTGTGTCCCCCTCTGTTTGGTTGACTATTATTTGTGTGAGCCACACCAAACTGGATACTCTAAAAGGGTCTGGGGTCAGAACAGAGCCTGGGCTGATTGAGCATAATGCAGGATGCTCAGTGTGTAAGAGGCACTGTAATCAGTGTCATTTGTAACCCTAACAGGACATCTTCTGGAAGGTGTAAAGAGTTGCCTTGTGAAAGGTATGGCCAAGAGAATCTTAATACAAAGCTGAAGACCAATTGTGAATTTGATTACATTATCATTAGTACTATTACCATAGGAGATTGTAAGAATACATAGTCCTCTGCAGAGGAAAATGCACTAAATGACCAAGTCCCTCCTGTGAAGAACCAACAAATTAAGGCTGAAAGTACCATGAAAAGCAGGGCCATTTGTATTTGTGTTGTGGAATAAATAAGCAGACAGGGAACTACAGATTTTTACCTCCTTCATTTTCAGTTCATTACAGTTAAATTGGTGTACTTAGAATCAGATGTGTTGTACATAATGGTTTTTAAAAATCTTTACAGAACTGGCTGAATTTTTATGTCACCCAAAAGGAATGCCTATTGGAATTAAAATATCGTGACTGTTTCTTTTGGCGTTTGAAATGGTTAAATATGCAATACAAAAGAAAAACAAATAAATCTCAGCTAAATATATAGTTTAAAAGCTAAAAGGAGCAAAAGTCAGATAATTCAAAGCAAGACTGATAAAATAACCAGAATGCATTATTAGAGATAGATATTAGTTTATCTAATTATAAATATATATTAATCATAGTCAGTAGGAATGAATTAAAATAGGGAATACTATTACATTTTATATTTTCTCATTATTTTTAATGAGAATATTAATGATATTTAAGGTATAGTTTTTGTTTTTTCAAGTTTAACTCACCAAGGTTGTAAAATAAAAAGACAGAAAAACCTATAAGCAATTATCTCTGTCCAAATGGATATAGCAGCCCCAAACCACAGCTACATGACTATCAAACAATGATGATGAAAACCACAATTGAGAAAAGCATCAGGGAATGATATTGCAAAACCACAGCAACAAATGTGTCTGTGATATTGAAAACCACAGTTCACAACTAATACCCTGTGTATCACAAATTACAATTTAACTATAAATGTGCAAATGTATAAATAACAACACAAAATAATTTCTCATTTGCTTAAAAATAAATTACTCACTTCTAGGCTCACCAATTTAATGTCTACATAATCGTTTGTTTATAAAAGTTTCTGCTTTTAAAAAAACAAATCATTTTAAATTACATGAAAAATGCCAGTTACTTTAAAAACAGGAAATGAGCAACTTTTACTAATATTTTCTAAAATGTTAAAAAAAAAGATCTGAAATCATTCTGAAACAAACATCTACTTCAGTCTAGCTTTTTTCATAAAGTTCTTTGGAGGTGAAAAGATATGTGAATGGAAACTGTTTACAGAATAAAAGCTCAAAGTATTCTATTACAACTTCAATGAAAATAAAATTGTATATATTGTAGTACCCTTCTATATCCAGGGCTTATATTCCAAAGCCCATAGTAAATGCCTGAAACTACAGATAGTACTAAACCCTACACATATGGTTTTTTCCTGAAACTACAGATAGTACTAAACCTTACATATACTGCTTTTTCCTATACAAAATACCTATGATAGAGTTTAATTTCTATAGTAGGCACAGTAAGAGATAAATAACAATAACTAAAAATAGAACAATTATAACAATACATTGTAATAATAAAAGTCATGTGAATGTGGTCTTTCTCCTCTTTCTATCCCTATTTCTCAAAACATCTTATTGTACTATACTGACCTGTTTTGGGGCCTCAGGTAACTAAAACCATAGATAAGGGAGGACACTATATTCTTAAATAGTCATTTTAGCTAGAAAACATACATAGGAAAATAAAATAAGATGCCAGTACCCAAACTACATTAATATGCAAAACCAAGTGCTTATTTACAACTGCATGAAATGATATTAGTTGCAAGTTTATAGGAGTACCAGATTTTGCAAATTAAAAGACAAGATGTCTAATTAAATACAAACAATAATTTTGTAGGGTAAGTATGTTTCATGCAATATTTGGTACATATTTATCCTAAAAAATAATTGTGACTTATATAAAATCAAATTTAACTGAGCATCCTGTATTTTATCTGGCAAACCTACAAATTTAGCATTTTCACAAATTTATGGTGGTTTATAATATTGTTCCAGAAAAGGCAGATAACTGTAAAGTGCTTCCTATAGATATAAATACATTTAATTCTTGACTATAATGTTATTTAGGGAAGGCAAGGTAGAAGGAATAATTTCTCTACAAAAATTCTTACTTTGTTTGGCACAGTTCAGAAATGCACTCTCAGTGTAAATGGATTGCATTCATGTATATCTTACTCTTGGATTTGTTTTTAAAATGTGTTCTTTCCTCCAAGGGATCAACAAATTGACAAAGCAACCTCCCAGGCCACATCTTATTAGGCAGCAAGCTGCCTTCTTTATTATGGGAGTAAACAATATTCAAAAGCTTCAGAAAGACTTAATTTTTTGCCCTTGTATCCTCACCAGCAATTGAATACAGTTTATCTGCCTTGATTTAAGATTGTGACTCTGAATTGAACAAGAATGCAGTATGAAAATAGTGTTTAGTATTAGTGTATCTTTATAATTTTAGCAGTTTAAAAATAAAAATCAACAAATTCATCTAAATGGCATTTCTATTTTTTAAGTACGAAAAACACTATCTGTTTACTTGCAAAGGAGCTGAGGGCTTTGAAAACATTCAGTCAGTCTAGATCAGGGGGTTTAACTTCAGCTTCATGGAAATCATCAATACCTTGAAAGAAGCTTGTATGTACAAATAATTTTCTAAGGAATGGGTCTATTGAATTCCTCATATTTTCAAAAACAGGTGAAAAAAATCTGTGAATCAATATGGGTTTAGAATCACTGCTCTGTTTATGTGTAAATGTTTATAATATATTGAAAACTAAAATATGGATGATTTAAGTTTTACTTTCTACCCATTTCTCTATGTTCAAATTACTACTCCTATAAAAGTTTATCTAATAAAATAAACTCTCTTTTTAAAAAGTTATTTGCTACTAACTCTTTATGATACACAACATATCTCTGGGTAGAAGAAAAATATTAATAGACATATGTGATTTTGTCTGCCTGGCATTAATTCTCTCTTCTTCTGTCAATAATGCCTTGATATCTTTTGAAGAATTACTCCTCCAACCCTCTGGTCAAGTGACACAAGTGTGGTCTTCCCTAGTCCCTGACCAATCAAAATATTCCACACCTGTCTACAGCGATTGGCTCTATGATCCAAATTGTTCCTATAAAAGCCCTGGAACTTTTTTCTAAAACCACTGAGGAAGGCATGCTGTTTTTCTGCTATGATTGCTACACTGAGAGAAGGCAAATCTGAAATTGCTAGTGGCCATCCTTGTGGAAAGAATGTGCTAAAAGCAATGTCAACACAAAGAATGTTTTTGTCTCACCTCATCTCTAGAGTCTGATTTGGGGGAAATCTAAGCCAAAACACTCATTAACATTTCAACATTACTCTGGTTTAAATCCATCAGCATTATATATGTGTCTACATAAATGTTAGAATCTTAGTCATTTCTGTTATATTTTATCTTCGTCTACTTGACCAGGCTAACCCTGATGCATCTTTGCAGAATTAGTGTAGATGTTTTTTACAGGAAAACATCACTAACCTCCCAGGTCTGAGTAAGATACCTCTTCTCAGCTGCTTCCATGACATCTTTTTTTGTCCACCATAACATCTCTTGTTGCATTGTATTACATGGGCAAATTAATTTTCTATAAATCTAATTCTCACCAGCTCCTTCCCCGTCTCAACACACTTAATTAAATAGTGAGATTTGTGAGGGCAAAACAAAAAAAATGTAACTTTTTCAGAATTATGCCCCCAGTGTTGGACACATAGAAAGTCCTAACAAACTTATTGAAGGAAAAAGTTCAGAATCATTCTATCCTTTCTAGGGAATCCTACCATTCCCAATCCTCTTCCATAGAAT